CAAGCCATCAAGCCCGTATGGGGCCCCTTACTCGGGCATAGACCCGACTATTTCCCACTTTTGCGTATTGGGACCTTTCAGTTGGCTTAGTTTAAAATTTTGCCTTTGAATTGTAAAAGTTAACCATGAAGGAATACATACATACATACATGTGTATAAAAAATATGCATATCGACATGATCGCTCGAAAGCACCCAACTGGCGCAATTAATATTCATTTACCGACAAATTATCTGGTCAGCAAGCAACGCACGCGAATACAAATCTCTCGACTGCAGAAACGACAGAAGCACCAAACAATGTCAGAGTTTGCAAACCATAACATTAAATCACTTAAAATGTCAACAAACCACACTCCCTCGCCTCGAATCCTGGTGAAAGAAGTACTTAAGTTGAATGTGTTTTTTTTTTTTTGGTTTTTTTGGCATTATTGTTGAGGCCTTTTTGTCTTGTCCCGGCCAGATGGTTCCCATTATCATAAACTGCGACATCATCGTAAAGAGATTATTATTATATCGTACGCAGTAAATATTTACAACACCAACAGTAACAGCAAGATATGTGTACATATATTGTTATGAAAGCAGGAAGCAATGGCCAGTGCGTAACAAACAAACAAACCTAAAAAAAAAATGAAAATAAATTAAGCAATGCCACTAAAATAAGTTCACCAGCAGCAACAAAGCTCTGGCAGCCAAGTTGAAATCTTAATTACTAGCTGAGCATTTGACCTCCGCCGTTCGCTGCCTCGTTTGGTCAGTCAGTTGGATGAGTCCCCATATGCCAGAAGTCCAGTGCACTTTTCGAGTACATTTTAATGCTGCTGTGTAAGCGGACACATGCTCAACATACATACATACATACATACATTCGGAAGTGCGGCGCCCTACGTTCGCACCCACCAAAGTGCGGCGGATTAGTCGCACCATCAGCATATTCAAAGCAAAAACATCAGCAGCAGATCTGGCGTCCACTTGGATGTTGGTGGCTGGCCGATGCAGTACTCCAGCCATTGGCCAATATGTGATGTGTTATGGCCCGCCATTTGCGCCCGGCTTCTGCTGGTCGGCCGGGTGTGGTGTGTTGCACTTGTAATGGGGGTTAATTAGGCTGTGCGCGCGACACGCATATATCTCGGTAATTAAGCGAGATACAAGATACGTACGAATGTCCGCCTAATCGACAACTTGCCTCCCAGCTGAAGCATACAAATGGTCGCTCCAATGAGTTTGCAAAATGCTAAAATATCCCAATGCAGGAAATATTTATCTCACATTTTTATATTAATAGTAGTTATACATACATACATATGTACATACTATACACGTGTGTGTATATTGAAGGCGTGTTCGTTCATCTTGCACATCATCACATACAAGGATAATTCTTTCCTCTTAGCGAGTTCTGTTGCTTTTTATCTTTCACACAATCAAAGTAGCTATTCGCCTGTCCAATGCTTTTACCAATACATATATAACTGCACAGTCGCACCCGCAATTACTTTCACATTCTTGTTGTTAGCTCCCTATATCTACTTAATCAAGTTGCTGCAATTTCAATGGTCACCCGGCAAGCGAAACTAAACTAAAATTAATTTATGGGGCGTAACTTTCACCAGTCACCACTTCTCGGCGCAAATTCACTTGCTCCGTTCGTTTTGCAGCTATGGAAAAAAGTGTTGCCAATTAATAATTAAGAAGAATGTCATCGCACTTTCTTCTCTCTCTTTGGGCTGGCAGAGTGCGATATGAACTTGCATAGATCTGGTGGTTTTTATTATTCTTTCATTATGTTAATTACTAGCAATTGTTCTAAGGAGATGAATAGTATCTGTATTTGCCATCAGCAAGTGCCGTTGTTGTTGGTGTTGTAGTACTCGTAGAAGGAGGAATTCCTTTTCTCGTGACAGAGACAGAGACAGAGAAAAGTAGCAAAAAGTTGCCGCATAAATTGCGAAAAACAAATATACATTGACAGTCCACTTAACTTTTAGAAATATGACAGCCGAGAAATGTCTGCTTGAATAGGGGGAGACTCGAGTGAAAGTAAGGAACGCAGTGACATTAAAAAGTCTGTGGCTTTCCAAGAGCCACAAATGAAGATTGAGTAGGTTGGGTGAAAAAGAAATGAATTTCAATTGGAGAACTGTGTTGCAAGTGCTCAAGGATTGATGTTTTTAGCTTTAAATTTATGCATTTAAATATGTACGTATTAACTTGTAGTGTCGTTGGAGATAATTTGTAACTACATATAAACAATATATTTTCTTTATGTACATACATGCATACATATTTTTCTCATATCGAACCAAACATCGCATCTTTAAATAACAGTTATCAAATACCAAGAAGCTTACAATAAATTCGATTATAAATACCGTTAAACTTTTACTCAGCAACCAACTTTTCAAATAAAAACATTTAAATACGTAGGGGGAGATTCTTTTAAATATCTAAATATTGCTCATTTACTTCAATAATATTGTAATCTGTTATCAGATGAATAGGCCAAATGCTTGAAATACATTGAAGATGACGGGCCACGGGCCACAGCTTCCAATTTGTTGTCTTCATTATCTAAACGCTTTGTTTTTTGGATGCAGCTGTGGCATGATGACTTTGTTTGAGTTTGACATAAAAGAGGAGGAAGAATCTTATCTGCCGCTAGAAAAATAGAAATAGATCGAATCTATCGACGGCACTGTCGAAGGCCTTATATTATTTATATAGATATGCTATCGATTAGTGATATTCCTATTTGTTTAGAAAATCCAATTCAAAGATTTTAGGGCTGGCGATTGGCTCGTATAAAACACATAATTATATTAAAAAATTTATCAAATAGTTACAGGGAAGTGAATTCACTCATGTGTTTGTTCTTGGAGCTTTCGGCCGGTTGGCTCAAAATAAGTTCCAATTTCACGAGTTGTTTTTTGGTGTCACTTCCTTCTCTCGCCGAAAAAACGCGTTTAAGCATTCTTCTTGCATATATTTATTTCAATTAATGGAGTTCCAGAAAAAGCACAGTAAAAAAATAAAGGAAGTATTTTGTGAATTTATGAAGTGAATTTTAGCCTTAAAACGCTTGGAAAGACAGCGAAAGCTTCATTCAATCGCACGACTTTTTCGCACGCACACAGTGACATCGATTGCACGCACACTACAAAAATGCTCTGCCGAAGCTGCCCACCCCACCTCCGATTTAAAGCGTTAGAGGACTGCGTATGGTGCTACGGGGCGTATACGTTACATACGCAACTCTGGTATATGAGCACGAGTGGTTATTTTTTACTTTTTTACCTCCCTTTTATTAGCTCGAGATGTAACTATGTAATATTGATGCGCCTACAAGATGCAGCGATTTCTATTCTCAAGTTACATACCTGATTGCAGTGCGAATAGCAATTATAATAGGGAGGTTTTAGTTTTTTAAACTATAATTTTTTTGTAGTATGCATATCTTCTTAACATTTTCATTTAAATACAATTTCGCGCTTTTACTCTGGTTCTTTATAGAAAACTGAAGACAATGCATTTTATAAGTTAAATATGCCTCCATTTTCTACCAAAAACACGTTTTTGCCGAAAAATGTAACAACACGTACCTTTAGTAGAGTTATTGATATTACAACAGTTTATTGGTATCCGCGCCATATTATTGACGGAGAAAGAAATCAGGAAATATGTTATATTTATTTTATTTCCAGAGCTTAGTATACAGCTCTCTAGAAAAACGAGAAAGTTATATAAAATTACCTTCAAGAAATGGAAGAAATTATCTTCTCTTAAGTGATGCTTGGTATTCTACATTTAGGAATTCACCTATACTTCCAAAGCACGTAGCCTAAATACCAATTTAATGGCACGTAGGGTTGCCAGATTGGATATTTCCCCCTGAGATTCAGAGGATACCGATCGAAACTCGGAGCTCAGGGTTTGCTACGAAAATCTCAGGGGTTGGGGAACATTTTTATTTTTTATACGCTTGTTTTTCCATGCAACAGTTTTCTTTAAGAAAAGATCCTTTGTTTCCTTTAACCCCGGAAAGTCATGCTTCTTCGAATCAACGATGCAATACTTGCTTGCAAATAAAATGTTGCGTAATGAGAAATTAGACAACAAAATTTTACTAGACATATTCAAATTATTTTTTTAGAATTCTCATAATTTTTTCACAATAATAATTGCACATTTGCTAAGTCTTTGGCCGAGCTTCTCATCCAATTTGAGGCATATACCTTGATGTTGTTACACAAATGGAGAGACCTGCATATTTTCTTTCAGTTTTGTGTCAGTCTCGTGGTCTGGGACCTTGAATACGTGGTCACCTTAACGCACCGGCTGTATGACTTCACGTCCCCGGCGCTACTTCATATTTTTGCACTGTAAAGTGCCACTGACTTCAGGACCTCAGCTAATAATCGGCCTCGGGTTAGCTTCGGACAACGGGTGTTTAACTTCATTTGAATACATACGTACGTACATACATATGCAAGTATGTGTTTGGTGACGAGAATTAATTGTTTTTCGCTATGAAATTTCACGAATGTCTTCAATGATTTTCTGCTTAAACGGCCACAGGACTGCCACAAATCCTACGTTCTCTCACGTAGCCTAGCCAGTCATGTAAACAAACACATCACACCCTCGTCATCTAACCAAATAAGTCATTAAGCATATGCACATACTTACATACAAATGCATGAGAAACACAATTAGTGTACACTGGTTGTGTTGTGACAGTTTAGGGGTCTTCAATAAAATCAAATAAGTGAGACAGCCAAACAACGTCGGGGGGCTAGCGAAGTGTTTTGTAGAGATTAACAGCTGTTAAGGATGACCCATTGGAAGTCAAGTCGTTCATGTTACGCACATAGATTAATGCCCTGATTGTTTGTTGCCATTTGACTGCTAAAGCGCAATGATTAATTGATTCGTATTATAATAACGAATATGCTTTGATGAATCGTTTTTAGAAATCAAAGAAATTATTTTCAATTGCTATCATTTTATTCTGCAAATGTGCATAGATGTTATTTAACATAAAAATTTAATAAATAATCTGGATAAGAGTAACCATTTGTCTGATTAAATCTGGAAAATAAAGGCATAATTTTAATTTATTTTTATTTTTTACATACATACATACCTACTCCAAATTAGCCGGCTAAATATTTTCGTCCGCATCATATGAATGCACTTCTATTGTGTCCGAAAGAGGCATCCCACTGTGCTATTAGACGACCAAATCCATTACGACTGTATGGCCAAATGAGTTGTCCAAAAATGTATTCGCTGCTTTTGTTGAATGGACGGACATTTGGTTATTTACTTAGCGGACATGTTCCAACTAATGGATGTATTGTTAACAAACAAAGAATGCATTACTTACAACATAATAAAAATTTAAAAATAAAAATAGAAAATTAGTGAATAAATACATATACATATAAGTAGGTATGAAATTTAAATGGCAATATATGAGAGCCTAAATCATTGCAGAAGACTGTTTGAAATCTACATGCAACATCTCTGCATACATAAAGATATGCATATGTACATTAGGGTGGTCTAAAATAAGTAAAGTCGAAATTTTAATGCTCTCACTAGCTATCGAAAAAATATACCCCTATTTTTTATCTTGGACTCAAGAAAAGATTTAGAGGTCGCTCAAAGCGCTTAAAGTTTTCCATGTATTTTATATGGAAAAAACAACTTTTCGTAGAAATGGTATGAAATTCTTGAAAATCAATATTTTTCTATCGGAAAACTCTGGTTCTCAGCAGGAGACTTCCAATAACAATATTCAATTCTCTGTTTAACAATTTTCTAGCACTAAACATTTTTTATTTATCCCAGCAGGAGACTTCCAATAACAATATCCAATTCTCTATTTAACAATTTTCTAGCACTAAAAATTTTTTATTTATCCCCCATTGCATTTCTGTCATTTTCTGGGTGTTTTCGCGGACCTATAAAATATACATAGTTACTATGAAAAAATGGTTAAGTAAAGAATTGGGTATTATTGTTGGGAATCTCCTGAAGAGAAACAGATTTTTCCGATTGAAAAATATTGATTTTGAAGAATTCTACACCATTTCTACGAAAAGTTGGCGTAGCCACGCCCACTTATGGTTACATGAGTGTATCTTGGTAACCGCTGCACCAATTTCTTCCACACTTGGCACAGTTGCTGGCCTAGATACAGCATACTAAATGGCCGAAAGTTTAAATAATCGGACAATAACCATGGCCACATCCCATATAACGGTAATTTAGAGAAATACAAAATCTTCGATAAATCAGTAAATATTAAAGCTAATTTATTCAAAATTGATGCTTGCAACAATTCTTTACCAAGAAATACGTTTATGATAAAATTTTGGAAAATAGGCGTGGCACCGCCCACTTATGATCACATATATGTATATCGGTAACCGTTCTACCAATTTGTACCAAACTCGGTATGGTTATTGTGCTTGCGACATAAAAGCAAAACGTTGAAAATTATTGAAATCAAACTTAAATTACGGCCGCTTTTCATATAACGGTAAATTTCAGAAATGCTTGAAAGTGGAATACTTCCAAATTTAAGGACGCTAATTTACTGAAAATTGATACATCCCGGCTTACCATCTAGCCGTAGCTTTCGGAAAGGTGAAAAAACATATATTTAATACTTGCGCCGGGTATTTAATGTTCGGCTCCGCCCGAACTTAGACTTTCTTACTTGTTTTTATTTCAAAATAAAAAATAAGGGCATATTTTGTTCGGTAAAGAATCATCCTAGGGGATGAGAGTACAAAAATCCCGACTTCACTTTTTCACATGAATTTTTGTACCACCCTAATGTACATTCATACCTATAAACCCGAGCATCGTTGAGGATAGATGCATACAGATCGCAAAAATTGATAACGGTCGCCGCTTTCTTTCCCCAAAATCTACGCCAAATCATTCTATTCATAAATTTTTGTAAAGCCTTTCGTAGCAAAAAAAAAAGAAAAGAAAAGTTCCCAAAAAAACAGTCGCGCCACTAATAAATAATTTCGGCGCATTTGGCTAAAAGGATTCAGTACGCTCACCATTTTCAATGCTACTCCTTGCCGGTAGCTACAATTATTTTACATATTTGTGTTGAGATTTTGTGTGCTTCGGTTGAATCTCGCAATATGCATACGTATGTACGTATGTATGTATGTATGTACATAAATGCAAGGATGTCCTTTTGTTTTTATTGCGACTCAGGTTTACCTCACACAAATTTGGTGGCTTTTGCCATTTTTTGCGGTTAATTTGTTGGCGGAGTTCATATTTTTATCTCTGTTGATTTTTGCGTACAAAACTTGCTTTTGTACCCTTTTTCTGTTTGCCGCAAACGGTTGAACTCTACTACCAACGCAGGCGGATGTTGTCATCAGTTCCACAGTTCATTGCGTAATCCATTAGGCGCGAACCATCGTTGATTTGTAGGTGGATGTGTCCAATGTGGGGAGAGATAAAGACTCACAAATGAAAACAAAAAAACAAAAAACATTTTGGAACTGCCTAAACTTTTATAGTAAACCTTTAAAGAGTTTCATGAACGAGATTTCCACTAAGAAAATGTGTACATATATTTCGCATACCCTCTTTAAAAGACCAAGGCACCATTCAAAAATCGCATCCGGAAATAATATAACTCTTTGTGGATCGCACAGATTCATCGCAATTGATACAAAAACAGTAGCTTTCTAGGAAGAGAATATAATCATTAAGAAAAAAATATTTGCATTAATTGAAGATAAATCCTACGGATTGATTTATGGAAAAAAGCGACCTATTTGTTTTGGTGCCTCTTTTGAAGTGGGAAAAATACTGTTTTGGGAAAGTGCAAAAGCTAAAGATTGTTGTAAAACATTTCCCATTATATAATTCCGAGTGGTGGCAAGATCCGGCCCTAGTCCGCAGCTATTGTGCAAAGCTCCCTTGGCTAACTTATCAGCAGCGCCGTTTCCGAGAATTCTGCGCAGACAGAGCATGCTCTCAGTGCCCCTTAGACCCGGTACATCCACACATTAGCTGCCGCTAGGTTAAAATTTTCAGTAATGCCTCTTGCAAGAGTAAAAGCCAACTCTCGCTTCCTTTACTCCCTTCTCTACGTTTATTTTATAACTTTGCGTAGGATGACCGATTTTTGTAAAAATTGTTTGATGGGATCTGAGAAATCCTTTGCTTTCCAGTTATGCACTCTATTCTTCACCGCTTTTTAAAAAAATAATTTAATTAGTTGAACTAAATACCCTCGCTCTCTGTATACATAAAACTGAAAATAAACGCTCGTTTGCGGCGTCAGCCTTTGCAGTACACTGTACAGAAGTATTGCTTTAAGGAATTTATGTTGCCTCTGCCATTTGAATGGTTAATTTTTATTTTCGTTTTTGATAAACCTAATTTAATAAAATAATTGCTTTTCGTATTGTTTGCCTCTTCCCCCCCCAACCCCAACTGCATGACTCATAATCTCAATAAATTCAAACAGTTACCACTCATTTTGTAACAATTACGAAAAACAAATCCAACCACATTTGTAAGCCAACAACAATTGGCGGCATCTAATTACTACATAAAAAGTGATTAACATTCCTGTCCATAAAAAGGAGAATTCCTTTAATGTTTGCCATATTTCTTTAAGTGCCTCGCCGCCAACACAAGCACACATTCATACATACCCTGCAGGGAAACCGCGGACTAGTGAATCAAATTTGTAGTTCCGTACTAGGTCTTTATCGCCAAAAAGGAACTAGTCCGACATGAACTAAATCCCCACCAGTCCAAAATCGGAGAAAAGTGGTACTTTTAAAAAACTAATTTATTTCAGTTTTTTCACTAGAAATCGATATCTAATGTGACGAATTTAGAAATGGTTCGGAACTATAGAAAAAGGGATGCAGCGGGGGAATTGTTTACTTTACATAGATATGTGTTCGGCGGCTTTTTCGTTCAAATACGCTTCTATTCTGCGCTTCGCAGATGCTTTTCCATAGCTTGGTAATACAAAACTAGGATTTGTGTTAACATTTCAACAACTTGGGACCGTCTGGAATCTAAGAAATAACAGCGAGCACCTCTGCAAACTCAGCTACAACTAAAGGTATGTAAACGTACATTTCTTACAATCATTCAAACAAATTTAATTTCAAATTGAAAACACATTTCCAAAATAACTTAAAATCGCACACACGGGAGAACCAAAAAGACTGAAAAATCATGATACTTTTTTCTTTCGTCTGTCGATTTCAGAACTGGTTCGGAACTATAGAATTTAGGACTAGTTCGGAACTATCGAAAAAGGGATGCAGCGGGGGGCAATTGACACTTCCTAGGACATCGCCATGTTAAATTCGCCAGTTGCTTGCATGCAAAATAGATTTATCGCGAACCAGTACTGGGTCTAAATGTACTAGAAGCGCACCAGTTCAGAACTAGAGATTTTCCCCACAGGGTACATACAAACATATGTAAGTATGTACGCTTACAACAATTGCTATTTCGTTGTTATTCAAATAAGACATTCGACTTGGTTCGAAATTTGCTTCGCTATCTCGGCGACTCTATTAATCGCTTGCGCGTCTTAAGAGTCGACTGGCGAATGCAATAAAATTGAAATTATCTCAGGCGAATCTCTTTGTCTTCCGCGCTTTTTGGCGAACTTATTTGCAAGGCATTTAAATCCTTTGGATTTTTGGTACTTGTTTGTTTGTTGGATTTTACTGGCACATCGAAAGGGTTACGGCGAAATGCCAAACTGACACACAAATAAAGTTACGGTAAAAATTGTAAAGAAAAGCGTGGAGCAAACAATTGAGCGTAGAGCGGGAGCCTTGGACTAGGAGTGTTAGGGAGTGTGGGGATCTTATTAGACGTATTAGCCAGTGAGAATAGAGTGCATATGTGGCTTCTGCGCCACATCTGAAGAATGTGCTGCAAAGGTAAATTTTAGGGATGTAATTCGTCAAACGACGTCCGCCGTAGCTGAGTGGTTAGAAGTGCGTACTGTCATTCGCTTTCGAGTCCCGGCCAGCGCAACGTATAAATAATAGGAAATATACTTTCTGATGGCAAAAGTAAACATCCGAGCTTCTTCCTACGATAAATAAATAAGGCACTGATGGATACTTCTTCCTCCTTCTTTTAAAGGTCTTGCAATCAATTCTAAACGACGGGCCAAATTTCGTGTGGATTTCATTGCTTCTTCAAATGTACTGATCGAGACAAGCCGATCCATACACATTTTTTTGAGTAATATGAAAAACGAAGTATCTATAAATAATAATTATGAGTCTTTTATTGAAAAGCTCATTGCACTTACCTGATGCTACACATTATAATAAAAGAAAAGCTGCACCCTAATGTTTTTTGGGAATGTCAGTTAGGCTACTTTGCACTATGGGAAATTTTTTTAAAATTATAATTCCTTCAATATCGCACAAAATCGCAGTATAAGATTATGGGGAAACAAGAGATCAAGGACTATTCTACCGATTTTTTTAAAACACTAAATAAACTTTTTTTTAATTTACAATTTCACTTTAAAGTCACTTAAATGCGGACATTTATTTGGCACAACCTTTAAACTATATAATACAAGTTTTAATTGGTAAATATTCTGCTAACCGTCACTTTTTCTTTCCACTTTTCACTTTTGAAAATCAGCAAATAGAATGTTTACAGAAAATTTCAAAACTATGAAACTATTTGTGGGTTACCAAATCAACGGTAAGTAAATTTATCGAGTATACAGTTTTTTACTCTGAAGTATTCTCTGTAAGATAAGACAAAAAAAAAAATAATTTCAAGCAAGTCAAGAAATTGACTTTTGGCCACAAAATAGGCTCAAATTTCCCATAGTTCTTTGGCTCTCAAGGTCTATAGGTTCTGATTTGTAAAGAATTCCAGCTGATTTTAGAGCCATAAAAAAAGTTGGTAATGAAATTTTATTGCGATCCAGTTTAACAAAATTTTGTTTGTACATAAATATGTATGTATGTATGTATGTACATATGTATGTATGGATATGTGTACTTATGTACACACAAACGTTTCTAATCGTATACAAATATACTCACCCTTAAGTGACTTCCGAAGCTCGCCCGTTGCCTGGCCTATTCCAATCTTGTTAGCGATAATTAAAAGCCAACCAATTTTTGACATTAAACAACCAAAACAAATTATCGGCGCGGAAATTGTCAGCGTAATGAGTAAATAAAAGTGCAAATAAATTCCAAAAAACACACTGAAACTTATTGTATGTGTTTAAGTATTTGAGTAAATATTGAACTTCGACTACTGAACTCCCGCTGAATGCGACCTGTCCTTGGCAAAACAAAAAACAAAAAACAAATCAAAACCCCAGTCAAACCAAAACGAAACGAACTAATAATACTACTACTCGCCTGTCCTCTTGCCACTGTGGCCGCCACAAATAACCGCACGGCAAACACTTACCTACACCGACGTCGGGTGGGTGAACTTTTGTGTGTGTGTGTGTATGTATGTTTAGCCCGCAGTCACAGCTGCGTGACGCATTTGTTTATTTAAATATTTAACACGCGTGAGCGGTGACACTGCCGATTTGGCCCATCCAGGGCGACCCGAGTATTCGGTTGACACAAATGCAGAAAATGTTGCATATTCTGTGGCGCAGATGAAGTTTAACGCTGATGTGTACGTTTGTTTGCAGTGTTTATGCTTGTATGTATGTATGTATGTGAGTTCGTAATTAAAAATGTAAAACTTTATTGTGCTCACTATGCGCGAAGGGCAGGGCGTCTAGGGCGGAGACAAAGGATAAGTGCGTGGTGAACGAGCAAACGTAAATTAAATATTTACTATGTATACGTATGTGCGTACATATGTATGTATGTATATCAGTTGCTGTCGTTCAATATTTTATGATGTATGTATTTAAATTTTGGGGTTGTACGCAGGAGCAGTGCGGAGTGTGAATTGGTGCCGAATAATTAATACCAAGTAAAGAATATTCCCTATACTTCTGCTATATATGTAATATGTACTTTTTAAACAGTACCTAACTGTACATATTTACATACGTATGTATTTATAAAGTGCAGTGGCAGCAATCGGCAACGAGTATTAAAGTATGTCCAAACGTATTTATTTACATATTTAAAGTATAATATTAACCACTACAAAGAATGCCGAATACGAATAACAGTTTTGGCGAACGTTCGATTTAAAAAAAGGCGGATTTCAGAAAAATTTAAAACAAAAGAGTATTACAAGAGTTATACGTTTTTATCATTGGTAGGTAGGTAAAAAAAAAGACAACTAGGGATGGCAGCGATTCATCATTTGATTAAATTAATCGATTATTTTTGTCCAATTTACGACTTAATTGCATCGTAGTTTTGTGGTACATTAATCGTTTATTAATCGTAAAAATATTTTCAAGAAATATTTATTCTGTAGTTGTTTCAAATGCATCCATCGATCTTTGGGCCTCTCATAAATCTCTTGTACACAAACGAAGGCGTAAAGGTGATGATTTGGCTCACCCACAAAAGGAAATGCGTTTTTATTTAAATTGTCAAGTCCAAGATTTAAAGCAGGATATTATAGATGGAATTTCGAAATCATTTAGTTGGTACTTCGGTGCCTAATGAGCGCCTTTTTTCAAAAGCTGGTGATACAGCCACCACCGAAAAACGCAACCGTTTAACAACAAAACGCTTATCAAAAGTTTTGTTTTTGCAAATTCGGTTAAATAATAAATAACAACAAAACATTTATTAAAACTTTTGTTTTTGCAAACTCGTTTTATTTTATTTAAGGCTAATAAACAAGAGAATTAGAAAATTCGTATGGAAAAGTGTTTTTGTGAATACTCACTGTAAAAAAATACATTTAAAAATTCGATTAATCGATTATTTCTCAATAATTGCAATTAATTTCAATTAGTTTTTTTTTGCTGTGATTAATCATATGATTAATTAATTAATTATTTTATTTTATTTTCAATAAATATTTTTTTTTGCTGTATTTTCAATTAATTTTTTTTTCGCTGTGATTAATCGTATGATTAATTAATTAATTATTTTATTTTTGCCATCCCTGTATATCGAAGCAAATAAATTATATTATGAAGGTTGCATTTATATTGCTTACTACAGTGTAACAGTTAACATATATACATATATACTTTGACATAAATACGTACACATGTATATATGGTCATACATATGAATGTAAACTTAACAGCCCTACTCCCACAACACTGACAAATTTCATCGATGACTATTGTCACAATTAATGCGCTTAAAACACAGTACCAACATTGTTTCGCCGTTGTCGCGTACTCATTGGTCATAACAATAACAATAACAATTGTCACCATTATAGAGTTTAAAATAAATTTGCGGCATAGTTCTAGGCGCAGTAGTGAACATTTGTTAACTAATCAAATAATTGCATCGTTTTTGTTGATTTCGATCACATTTGATTGATTTGTAAACTTTATTAACATGTTTACTTATCAATTCACACTGACATTGACTTGTCAGTCATTCAGTTATTCAGTAAGACTCATAGAAGGCGCAGTGACGATTGGGATAAACCTTGTGATCGGCAAATGTTGCTGCCAACTGAGGTATATCTACTGTGTTATAGATAATATTTTAGCAAAAAACGTAGCAAACAAATACTTAAATTTCAAATGTGGTTTAAATCCCCATATTCGGCTAAATGAAATACCCATCCTTTTTCTATAAAACGCGGCGCGAAATTGTCTCTTCTATTACTTGTGGTTGGCGGCCGAGCAAGAAGGGCCAATAGAAGGTTAACAAATGCCATTGCAATTTCTATAAAAGCCAATAAATCAACACTGGAATGCGCAATTGCAGCCGTGACAAAGCGTTCACTACAAATACTCATAGCAAGTTGCATGCGTACATATTTACATACATACATACACATGCACATATGTATTTGTATGCACTGCATGACAAAAGGATATATAAATTTTTTGCACATGAGTCCCCATTGGCCTATCACCACAGCTGCCACATTGCAATGCACAATTTTAATCAGCCCAAACTTAAACGTATGATTGTGTTGAATATATCACCGACGAAAATGTTGCACGGATGCACATACATACATACATATGTATATGCATGCGTGCTCTCTTCGGTTGCCGCTTATTTTCAGTTGAGTGTCGACATTAATCAGCCAATTGTCACGTGAACACAAAACTCTGACCAGTTGATAGCGTTGGGGCCATTTCAAATGTGGCTGAAAGGCATTTACAGGCCATAACAAAGATGTCCGTTCCTAGCTGATCCTTTACATACATATAGATGATATGGTATGAGCAGATATGCATGCATGTATTCAAATGCCGCTCCACACAACTTCCAACCCACATATTCATTTTATCCTCAATCCAACGCCTTGGCGACTTTTGATCTTCTTTGATGACAGAAAAATCTTGTAATATTTTACTTCTGCTTGAGAAGGGAAGTCTAGGAGAAATAACGGAGTTGGCCACTTTAAATGATTAAATTGGTTCAAGGCGTTTGTTAATTTATAAAACTACTCTTGATTAGAATTTAATTATAAGTATATTTAGTAAAAGAAAAATAGTTTAAACCAAAGCAGTTGGCCTCTTCAGGTGAGCCTGTATTTTGTTCTTTCTTTAAGTCTCTACGACTTAATTCGAGCGCCCACATGTACGCCTCGCATTCTTCTTCTTCTTTACTTCTGCCACTAGTAAAGCGTCGATGATCAGAACTCGCACACTTTCTCGAGCCAATTTGTTAGTTTTACCTCTAAATTTTCGTCGTATGAAAAATTTAAAAACTTTAGAAAAGTTGATGAATGATGCGACGCCCGACGATGCACGTTGTCCCGTGGGGTAAAAAGAGTATGTGAACTGGCTGGCTTATTGGCCCTTTTTAACTTGTGTAAGCCACAACACATTTACGGCTTAAGTCACCACACACACACACTCTCCACCAGCTAATAATATTCCTACAACACACTTAGTACCTTTTCTAATTAATTTTGATGGACGACGTTGCTGATGACGTCGCCAGCCCCTCACATTGGTGGCAAGACCGCATAATGATTGGGATGGCGCGGAATTTGCAGTCTGTCATCGCCGGCGTCTGCTGCTAATCTGCGTTGCAGTAGTCGCATTTGCTTTGTGCGGGGAGCCAGCTGGCTAAGAAGGTACATTAAAAGTTAAAATTGAAAGTGTTTTTTTTTTGTTGGTAACTTTTTGCTTATTGCACTTTGTCTTTGTGGCAGTTGTTAACACGCGTTGCGGTTGCTGGGATTTCAGAGGCGGGGGGATTGTTGGTGTTGATGATGATTTTGGTTGATTGTCAACACTTCTGTGCTTGCGCCATGCAATTTGTTGCCTGTGGTCCGCTCGTAGTTTTCTGCCATAAAGAATTTAAACTTTAAATTGCTCATCTTGAAAGGATTTGCCGCAATATGTTTGAATGTACATAACTTCTCTAAATTAAACTCGTAATTTTAATTTTTTAAAGTGGTACACTTCTGCTTCATTCAATTTTTAGGGAATAAGGTGTGATTATTCAGTTTGTCATTAATACAGTAGGCAGGTTTCTTTATAAAATTGAATTGTATTTAACAGGCTAAGTAACGTTGGACATTAGACTGGGTCGCAATACAAAAATTGTAATTGAAAGTTTGCTTGGAATGGGTTGTGGGCATTTCAAAAATGCTCGTCCTTGCCGAATCATAAAAAATGACCCGGAACCTCTTGGCCGCAACCAATTGTATCAAGCGCCTTTGCACACTCAGCCATACATGTAAATATGTTTTCAAATGTTGAGTTTGAATCAACATCACAGCGCGCGATTAATGCATTATGTCATACCATGTATGTGTGTGAATGTGTGTATATTTTGGCACCGCTGTGCATGCTTTGTATACATACACTTTTTTAATTACATATGAAAAAGCATCCGAGACGTGCAAAACGCCATGCATGTAGTGAAAAATGCTTCATATTAATACGGGCGTATTTGAGTTGAATATTTCCATTATACGTAGTGTATGTATAATAGAAAAAACCATTTTGTTAAGACTTTTCACTTGATTTAAATACGAACATTTTTAAAAGGTAATCAAATAAAAGAATTGTATTCATACAACGCGTTTTTTTTTCTCAGTGTGGATGTGATGCTTACAAAGCCAAGAGCCTTGATGGCTGCCTGGCTATCCGAGGAAATAGCAATGCTGGTCCCGGCTAGCTTTAAGGTTAAAATTCTTCTGCATTCCTTTTTGATAGCCTGAAAAACACTGACCGAATTC